ATATAAAGAAGTACAATGCGAGTGTATTTGTTGGATCTAAGGTTAAATCCTTCTTATCCAATAATACTTTGTTGTGGTTAAGTATATAGCTTGTGCGAGTGTATTTGTTGGATCTAAGGTTAAATCCTTCTTATCCAATAATACTTTGTTGTGGTTAAGTATGTAGCTCGTGCGAGTGCATTTGGTGGATCTAAGGTTAAATCCTTCTTACCCAATAATACTTTGTTGTGGTTAAGTATATAGCTTGTGCGAGTGTATTTGTTGGATCTAAGTTTAACCCCTTCTTATCCAATAATACTTTGTTATGGTTAAGTATATAGCTTGTGCGAGTGTATTTGTTGGATCTAAGGTTAAATAATACTTTGTTGTGGTTAAGTATATAGCTTGTGCGAGTGTATTTGTTGGATCTAACTTTAACCCCTTCTTATCCAATAATACTTTGTTATGGTTAACTATGTAGCTCGTGCGAATGTGTTTGTTGGAGCTAAGGTTAAATCCTTCTTACCCAATAATACTTTGTTGTGGTTAAGTATATAACTTGTGCGAGTGTATTTGTTGGATCTAAGGTTAAATCCTTCTTATCCAATAATACTTTGTTGTGGTTAAGTATATAGCTTGTGCGAGTGTATTTGTTGGATCTAAGTTTAACCCCTTCTTATCCAATAATACTTTGTTGTGGTTAAGTACATAGCTTGTGCGAGTGTATTTGGTGGATCTAAGGTTAAATCCTTCTTATCCAATAATACTTAAGTGTATAGCAAAATGAGGACATTAATCACAATTGTATTATTTATTTATTTTTTTTACTTAAAGAATTTTGTCAAAGAAATGTATAACTCTGACTAATAGAATGACTGTATTTATAATTATTATTATTTTAATATTTTGTTCCTTCCCAGTGGGGCCGGCCTCTAATGGTAAATGATGGGGGAAGACAAAAATTACTGTATTATAGAAATGTTTTAATGACGACATAATTAGAGATTCCATGTTCACACACAACTAAGTAGTCTACTTATGCAGTTTAACTAGGGTTAAGAACTTCCAGGTCATGGTCACTGTAACCAGGAGCACTTGAAGTGGAGAAAAAGTAGACAACTTTTGTTTGTTTGTTTGTCGTTAAGCACTAAGCTACACAATAGGTTATCTGAGCTGTGTCCACCGTCAAAATCTAAACCAGATTCTTAGCTTATAAACCCTTAGAATTACCACTGAGCCACCGGGGATCTAAGAAGTGGACAAGTGTAAGTGTGAGTTATGTACATTTAGGCTTAACAGTGAAGAACCGATTATCTTATGTATGGCTTGACTATAAGCTTTTTGATGAAAAAGCAAACTACATGTCAACGTAATAGTGGGGGATCAAATACACGAACTATCCCGTCCACTGGAAAGAGTGCAGAAGACTTGTCCCCCACCCCCTACCCCACCGGATCGGCGCGTGTAGCCATTCCTCTGGTAAATAAACATCCACTTATATCACTATAAGGAATTAATTAATACCACCAATGATATTTTGGCAACTAGAAACAAAACGAAAACATAATCCTGATGACGTCATCAGCTAGTGATGAAGTACGCCTGACTACAGACGTTCTTTGTTTTGTTTGTTTTCGGATTAGTCAATTAAAAACAATTTAATCTCGATGTTTACATTTTTTAACTTATTTCGCTGTAATTTTTACATATTCTCATATGGCTATCTTCTTCTTCTTCTGTAGCTTTTTCCCGTATCTATACGGGGTCGCTATTTTTTTTGGTGCCCTCCTTGATGCCAATCATCCCCTAATTTAGCAGTGTAAAACTAGATGGAAGGCAGCTAGTCATCAAAACCCACCGCCAACTCTTGGGCTACTCTTTTACCAACGAATAGTGGGATTGACCGTCACATTATAACGCCCCCAAGGCTAAAATGGCGAGCATGTTTGGTGGGACGGGGGTGCGAACCCGCGACCCGCAGATTGCGAGGCGAGCGTCCTACCCGCCTTTTCTCATATGGCTGTCTAACCCAATAAAATATGTTGCTTATGTAATGAATAGCTGTACCAGAGACTCAGTATCATAACAGCGTGCTGTTACTTGAAAATGATCATGTTTTAGCAGGACTGTTTCAGTTGGATGCCGTTTCGCCTCCAAGCCAGGAAAGCTTGCTTAAACAGAAAGTTTTTTAATAGATCTTGTCATGAAACGATTAAACAGTTATATGTATTAAATACTACATTTGGATAAAAACAATGAAATAAACTTTTCTGCCCATTCCAGCTATTTATTTTGTATCTAAACTATTCTGTGTTGAGATCTTTAAGATTTTCTTATGTTCCTGACCCGAATGTTTAGAGACATGTCTGTCTAGTTCCTGGACCGAAAGTTTAGAGACATGTCTGTCTAGTGCCTGAACTAAATGTTTAGAGACATGTCTGTCTAGTGCCTGAAGCGAATGTTTAGAGATGGTTCAGGCACTAGACAGACATGTCTCTAAACTTTCGGTCCAGGCACTAGACAGACATGTCTCTAAACATTCGCTTCAGGCACTAGACAGACATGTCTCTAAACATTCGGTTCAAGCATTAGACAGACATGTCTCTAAACATTCGGTTCAGGCACTAGACAGACATAAATGTTTAGAGACATGTCTATCTAGTGCCTGGACCGAATGTTTAGAGACATGTCTATCTAGTGCCTGGACCGAATGTTTAGAGACATGTCTATCTAGTACCTGAGCCGAATGTTTAGAGACATGTCTATCTAGTGCCTGAAGCGAATGTTTAGAGACATGTCTGTCTAGTGCCTGAAACGAATGTTTAGAGACATATCTGTCTAGTGCCTGGACCGAATGTTTAGAGACATGTCTATCTAGTGCCTGGACCGAATGTTTAGAGACATGTCTGTCTAGTGCCTGAACCGAATGTTTAGAGATATGTCTGTCTAGTGCCTGAAGCGAATGTTTAGAGACATGTCTATCTAGTGCCTGGACCGAATGTTTAGAGACATGTCTGTCTAGTGCCTGAAGCGAATGTTTAGAGACATGTTTGTCTAGTGCCTGAAGCGAATGTTTAGAGACATGTCTATCTAGTGCCTGGACCGAATGTTTAGAGATATGTCTGTCTAGTGCCTGAAGCGAATGTTTAGAGACATATCTGTCTAGTGCCTGAAGCGAATGTTTAGAGATATGTCTGTCTAGTGCCTGAAGCGAATGTTTAGAGACATATC